CCAATCACATACCTTTGCCTTTAAGCGCACCTTGCATAATTAGAGCACAAATAATAGTTGCATTATAAACTAGTGCACATCATATGAAATTCACAATGTATAACCAAACAATTTAACTCAGTCAATCCTATACATGATACTAAGTTCTCGACCCGTCCTTAAACATGCACCTACAAGCAAGGTTTCGTAACTTGTACGTACCTTGTGTAAACAACCCGGTTGGCCACTTTAAAACTAGAAGTCACCTTCTACAAAGTTCGCTCCTAAACCAAACAATTAGAAATAAATCAATACCAAAACAATTAAATTTACTACAATACTAAACAACTTCTTTAAAACCTCTTAAATCATCAAAATAAAGCCATTAAATTGTCCCCAATAATCAAAGTTAATAATATAATATCCCAACTTTAAGTTTATATGTTAGAATTATAAAAATATAGTGTTTTATATCAAATTACAGCAACTTTAAAGTAAGTAAATAAATCTGGAAATTTGTTTTAAGTATATAAAATAACCCCATAAGCATAATTACTTGAAATAATCATTATATAGCAAGTTAGTGTGTTAAACACCCAAGAATATATCAATTCAATGCAATTAGAGGCTTCAAAATAAAAAGTATGAAATCTGAAAATTATTTTTTAAATTTAGAATTTAAAGTTCAAAGCTTTTTCTATCACAAAATACTCACAATAATTATTTTATAGGTTTAGAAGCATAAAAACATGAAACTTACATGACTTGTTCGTAAAAATTGAAACTTTAATAATCTGAAAATATATATATGATCAAAATAATTATACTTTAACAAAATTTAAGCATAGTATAATTAGATAAATTGATTAGCACGTTTTTAAGCACTAAAACATGAAAAAGTTAAGGTTTAAACCCTAAAATATACAAAATACATAATCTGAAATTTTATTTTATAATTTAGACATACTAAACCCATAAATTTATATTATTTTGTAATTTAAACATACTATTAAAGCCTAATAACAATAGTTTTATAATTGAAATCAAACAAAAATTGAAGCTTTAATAAAATTAACAAAAATAATGGAAGAAAAAACAAGAGGAAGAAGAAGAGAGGAGGGGCGAACTGCTGGGCAGCTGGCTATGCAGGGCGGCGCGGCGGTCAGGGGGGCGGTTAGGCGGTGGCGCAGCGGCACGGGCGGCAGCAAGGGTTTGCAATTATTTTTTTTTATTTTTTTCTCTTCTTGTGGTGTTGTACGTGAGAGAGGAGGAAGGAGTGAGGGAAATAAGTTGGGTATGATTAATAAGAATTGGGTTTGAGGGTATCCTAGCTAATCCAAATATAATTAGGATAACTTGTTTAGGCCTAAATACATCCCAAAACTTAAAAAAGAAACATGTGGTGTAAGGTTGGGCTTTGAGGTAACTTGGACTAGGCTCTTAGGTTGGATAGGTAAAATGATTATTGTCAATAGTTAGTAATGGCTAAATAGCTTAAAACTAATTTATTATTTTTGAAATATTTATAAAATTATACAATTATCGTAAAATAATCATATAATTAATGATAAAATATAACTATTATAATTACAAAATCATGGGGGATTACAATCTACCCCTCTTAAAAGGAGTTTCGCCCTCGAAACTTAACCCAAAAATCATAATTTCTCCAAAACCATTCAAATATTTTGTGTTTTGTATTGCTGTAAATTGCTTGCTTCTCAACATGCATACTCAACAAACCGAACTTTGTACTCAATGAACTCATAGTTGGCCAAAGTTTACATACTTTTATTGTATGTAAATGTAATAATAATGCATAATGATAAACAAAAACATGCAAAATCAAGCAATAAATGGTATAATTGAGGTAAAAGCGCGAAATTACATTGCATTCTTCCCCCCTCAAAAGAAAAGAATTACGCCTTCGTAACTCACCTTATCAAACAATTCGGGATTTTTGTTTTTCATCTCTTCCTCGGCCTCCTAAGTAGCCTCTTCGTACTCCTGGTTTGACCAAAGGACTTTCATTATCTTCACATCTTTGGTTCTAGTACTACGCACCTTGTGATCTAGTATCTTGACTGGTCTTTCTTCATAAGTTAGAGACTCATCAAGTTAAATAGTCTCCGGCTGCAAAACATGGGTTTCACTAGGCACATACTTTTTCAATTGGGAAATGTGGAACACATCATGCATTTTCTCGAACTCCATTGGCAAAGCCAATTTGTAAGCCACTTTCCTCACACGTTGGAGAATTTCATACGGACCCACATATTTTGCACTAAGCTTCCCTTTCTTGCCGAATCGCATCACACGTTTTGTTGGAGAAACCTTTAGAAAGACTTTGTCCCCAACACCAAACTCATCATCTATCCTCTTCAAGTCGGCATAACTCTTCTGTCTATCTTGTGCTGCCTTGATACGCGACTGGATTAGTCTCACCTTGCTCACCATATCCTCAATGAAATTTGTACCAAAGTAACCCGTTCACTGTAATCATTCCAGCAAACTGGGCTTGTGCACTTCCTTCCATACAATGCTTCAAATGGTGCCATCTTGATGCTTGCACGGTAACTGTTATTGTTAGAGAATTCGATCAAAGGTAGGTGATCCTCCCAATTTCCTTGGAAATCTAAAGCACAAGCTCGTAACATATCCTCCATGGTTTGGTTTGTTCTCTCATTCTAACCATCTGTTGCAGGGTGAAAGGCAGTACTCATATTCAATGTTGTTCCAACGTTCTCTTGCACTTTTTGCCAAAACTTTGATAGAAATCTCGAGTCTCTATCTGACACTATGTCCTTGGGAAATCCGTGCAACTGAACTATATTCTTCACATAAACACTTGCTAGCTGCTTCTTTTTCCAGGTTTCTTTGATAGGAATGAACATCGCTGACTTAGTTAGTCTGTCTAAAATCACCCAAATCGTGTCATTCCCAGTATGAGTCTTTGGTAAGCCTGTCACAAAGTCCATGGATATGGAATCCCACTTCTAACCTGGTATTTCTAATTGTTTTACCTTTCCCATGGGTCTTTATGGTCTATCTTCACCTTCTGGCACGTCAGAAACTTGGATACAAACTCAGCCATTTCTCTCTTCATATTCGGCCACCAATAGAATTCCTTCAAGTCCTTATACAACTTATCATCCCAGGGTGAACTAAATATGGTGTATTATGGCACTCCTCCATGATTTTCCTTTTAATATCTTCACACTTCTGTGGTATACACCATCTCTCCTTATATCTCAAGCTCCCATCCTCATGAATCTTGAATTCAGTCTCCGCACCACTAGTCACACGATCCCTAATCTTCTGAAACGACTCATCCTCCAGTTGCTTTTCTTTAATCTCCTCAAATATGGAAGGTTGGATGGTTAAAGCACTTAGTAATCCTTCTAACTCTCCTTGGTTGATAACCTCAAGGTTCAATCTCCTCATATCTTCACACAACTCATTGCCCACAATTAAAGCATTGACATTATGACTCGACTTCTTGCTAAGGGCATCCGCAACTACATTCGCCTTTCCCTCGTGATACTGGATGTGGACACGGTAGTCTGTAAGATACTCTAGCCATCTACGTTGCCGCATGTTCAAGTGATCTTGGGTAAAGATGTACTTTAGACTTTTATGGTCCATGAAGATCTTACAAGAAACACCGTAAAGGTAGTGCCTCCAAATCTTCAAGGCGAATACAAAAGTTGCAAGCTCCAAGTCATGGGTAGGGTAGTTGACTTCATGATTCTTCAGTTTTCTCGATGCATATGCGATCACCCTTCCATTCTGTTGTAGGACACATCCCAGACCATGCTTCGAGGCATCACTATACACTTCGAATCCTTCTATCCCATCACGTAATACCTGCATTGGTGAAGTGGTCAATCGTTCTTTGAGGGTTTGAAAAGCTGATTCACAACTCTCGTTCCAATCAAACTTGCTCTGCTTCTTCATAAGAGTAGTCATGTGTCTGGCTATCCTCGAAAAATCCTTAACAAACCTTCTATAATATCCAGCTAATCCAAAGAAACTACGAACATTAGTCACATTCTTAGGTGTAGGCCACTCACTCACCGCCTTGATCTTCGCGGGATCCACGGATACACCCTCCTTCGAAATGTAATGCCCCAAAAATGCAACTTTTTCCAACCAGAACTCACACTTGGAAAACTTAGCATACAGCTTATTCTTTCTAAGAGTTTCAAGGGTAGTTCTTAGGTGCTCACCATGTTCTTCCTCATTCCTCGAATACACCAAAATGTCATCAATGAACACAACTACAAACTTATCCAAGAACTCATGAAACACTAGGTTCATCAAGTCCATGATAATGGTGGGTGCATTAGTTAACCCAAAAGGCATGACCGTAAACTCGTAATGTCCATACCGAGTTCTAAAGGCTGTTTTTGGAATATCTTTATCTGCAACCTTCAACTGATGGTACCTAGATCTCAAGTCAATCTTCAAAAACACGCTTGCCCCCTTCAGTTGGTCAAACAAGTCATCTATCCTAGGTAGAGGGTACTTATTCTTCACAGTCACATTATTCAACTCTTTATAATCAATATGTAGCCTCAAACTTCCATCCTTCTTTTTCACAAATAGCACAGGTGCTCCCCAAGGTGATGCACTGGGCCTAATGAACCCCTTGTCTAACAAATCCTACAATTGAGCCTTTAGTTCACTCGTCTCAGCTGGTGCCATTCTATACGGTGCTTTTGAGATAGGTGCAGCCCCTGGAACTAAGTCAATGGTAAATTCAACTTCCCTCTTAGGTGGCATTCCCAAAATCTCTTCTGGAAAGACATTTAAAAACTCATTCACAATGGGCACATCCTCTATCCTTCTACTCTCACTCATACTCAAATCTTGAACACAACAAAAGTACAATGGACATCCCTTATTCACTAGCTTCTTCACCTTCATAGCAGAAATGATCCCAAAACCCTTAGGCTTCCCTAACCGTCTATAGGACATTTTCTTACCCAAAGGATCACTCAGCTGCACCCTCTGCATCTCTAGTCTATATTAGCCTTGTATAAACTCAGCCAATCCATCCCCAGAATTACATCTAAGTCCCCTAGGTTAAACTCAATAAGGTCTGATGGAAAGATAGCTTCTCCTATTTTCAAAGGCAAGCCTTTGAATATTTTATTACAATGAACAAGTTTTCCCGTAGGCAGACTGACTGACACATCAACATGACTCGATTCAGTTAAGTTTAACTTCCGCACAACAGAAGTAGAAATGAAAGAATAAGCTGCTCCAGAGTCAAATAGAGTGTTGATAGAGACATATTGCATAGAAAAAGTACCAGTAACTACATTCGAGGACCTCTCAGCTTCTCCCTTGCTCATCACAGACAAGCGGTCGGGAGTGTTGTTTCTTGCCTGATAACCATTGTTGTTGTTGCCTGAGTTGTTGTTATTGCCATTGCCATTGCCATTGCCAGACATGTTGTTATTGTTGCTACAATTCCCAAACTTCCCATTCTGACCATTTCCCCTACTACCCTGGTTGTTGAAATTGTTAGGCCTTTACTGGGTGTTCCCACCATTCCCACCATTTCCTTGTTGTTTCTGCTTGGTGTAACACTCATACTCCCTGTGTCCCATTTTGTTGCAGAACCGACAGGTCACCAAATTCCCATCACAGTCTCTCCCAGGGTGGTTCCTTCTACACCTCTTATAGTGGTAAGTTCTTTCTCCATTGTTAGCATTGGAAGAACTACTAACATTCTGGTTACCCCTATCAAATGAGTTCCCATTCCTAGGCCTCTTAGATTTACTCTAGTTCTTAGATTTCCCAAACTCCTTCCTTTTCTCCCCAGCCTTAGCACTCGCACTAGCAGTCCTGGTATTTAGATGGTGCAGATGGGCAGCTCTCTCATAGACCTTGTCAAGGGTTTTAAAAACTTTTCCAGCTAGGCCCTGTTGTAACTCCTCAGTCAATCCATGCTCAAACCTCTGAGCCTTCAGTTCTTCAGTTGGTACTACCTCAGGAGAAAACCTAGAAAGGGTCATAAACTTATTATAGTACTCAGAGATTGACATGTCTCCCATTTCTAGTCTTATAAACTCCTGAGCCTTCTGTTTCTTCAGGAAAGGGGGGTAAAACTTGTCCCTCAAGGAGGTCTTAAACACTTCCCACCCAAAGTTAGGTTTGGCCCTAACGGTCACAACATTGTCTCTCCCACTCCACAAGATATCAGCTTCGTCCTTCAGGTACATAGCGGCCTGGTCCACTTTCATACCCTCAGGACAGTTGAGTGCCACGAACAGCTTATCAAACTCTCGAATCTAGTTTTCTAGGAAAGTAGGGTCAGCACCTCCCCTAAAAACTGGTGGCCTAACCTGGGCCAGCTTCTTAAACATTTCAGCTTGGGGGTCGACTTGGTATCCCCGGTTTTGGATCACATTTTCAGCCAACAAACGAATAGCATCAGCTAAGGCAGCGTTCTTAGCCATTCTAGCTCTACGCCTGAAATAAAATAAATATGCACTCCATTTTAAACGAAACCCAAATACTATTCACACATATTCATTGAATCACAATATTACATTTGTCACATAAATTGGTTCAAAAGGGTACCTTGAGATTGCACCCCCTTGTCCCAAGCAAAACCACACAATAAAAGCATGACATACGCAGGATTAAATGAATTTAAGAAAATAATTTCCCCATCCTGTGACACTCTTATTAAGTTTGATCATAGACAAAGAAATTTTTCTTAAAATGTATATGATTACAAAAATTAAACTTGCTCTTGCTCACAAATAAAAGTAAAATGGAGCTCTTAAAAATAAAATATCAACTTCTTATTATAACTTATATAAAGGTATCAATCCCAAATAAAAACTCTGTAGCACTAGCTACTTATTAAAATTAATCATCCAAATCAGACTATAATGAGGCTCTAATAACCATTATCAATGGCAAATGCCTTATTCATGCTAACTCCACCCTAACAAAAATAATCCTCAAGGTATCACATTGATGTTCTTATCTTTCTTCTCATTATAATTATTAACATCAAAATCAAGGTCATTTTCGTCATGTGAGTCTTCAATAATTACTGCCTTGTAGAGCGAATTCGGATTTCTAGTAATTCTCTTCCCAGCATTTGGATCTTCGGGTGGTGGTTGTAATCATTCAAGCTCATCCTCATCTGGAAATTCAATAAGAGTGTAATCATGAACATTATTTGGTAGGTTTTAATCTTATGCTTCTTATTCTTTGCTGTTTTAAACTCATGTAAGTACTGGTAGTCTTCCTCATCTAGATTAGTTGGCGTCATAATATTTTCAAACCTTTCCGGAGTATCATCACTTCGAGTATCATTCTCATCCTCAGACACAACAATGGGGTTGTTCCTAATATCATTACTCACGCTTTCAGACATGATTACTGAGTCGCTCATCTCTTTTCTACGTTAACCCAATGCAACGAACATTCAAAAAGCATAACACAAGCACATCACAACATAAATCAATTAGAACATAATTATAATATGTTAAATAAATAAGAAAATAACACTTCATGTGATAATTAAATGCAAAAATATGTATGAAATATGCATGAAATTCCTTCTTAAGTCTACCCAAAACTCACCAAGTAGACAAAATAAACTTCAAAATTGTTTTAAATAAAATGGTTTCAAACATACTTAGTTTCAAATAAATAAATAAAATTTGCCATTAAAATTCAAAATTTAAATCATTGAATAGGCGCCTAAGTCATACTAAGTTAATTGGCTTTAGTGGTAATTAAATCTAACCTAAGCTCCCAGATACCACTTTGTAACACCCCAATAATTCTCTCTTAAAAACCTGTGAATAACCTGTATATAACCTGAATGTTTAAGAGAATTACTAGCGTACTACCGCCACGTGTTCAAACGTTAAGGCTATCTCAGAAATTAGCAGCGGAAACCAAAACAGTTATAAATAAACCTCAAAACAAAGGAATTAAATCAAAATAAGTATTACAAGTTAGAACCATTAAGGTCCTTATTCAAAACCCAATAAAAGTAGTAAGTGATTAAATCCCGTGTTCAAATAAATTCAAACAAAAAGAAATAGTGTCGAATAAAATCAAATTAAAATAAATTTAAACTTGCAAAAGAAATAAACTGCAAACAACCAACTCTCTACTCAAGATCCCACAACCCTGATGAATGTTGCATGTGTAAGAACCTGTGGTTATTCTGCTCCCCAATATTACATGTGTAAAAATTGGATCGTCACAAGGTCATTGAAAGGCGAAGGCCATGACCAAAGAAAGACACACACAAAAGCACGCAATCAGCAAAGCTAAGTACATACAAGCTGCGAAATAAATTAAGAAAATACCTACCATGCTACTAATAATCAGGCATAAGCATCATTAATTACAGACTCGATTCATGACTCAATTATAAAATTTATTAAGCCCTCACTAATTGATATTAACAGACTCATTTATTTATTTCATTGGATTTAGCAATAGACAAGGTTGTCCAACCCATGTCCCATTTGAAACATCAATAAAAGAAAAACCCCATGCCTCCTTTCGGAAACGTCAATAAACATCCAACGACCACGGGCGCGACTCCGTGACCGCAGTTAGTATGAGATCTCACCTAACTCCTAGTTTTAGAAAAATTATATTTGAAATAGGAGGCTCGTAGATCAGACGACCTCGATAAAAGTACACGGCTAATACCCCATGTACCCCAACCCCTGATTGTCATTACTCCAGATGTGCACCATTCCAGAGTTTTATTGCTCATCCATCTTGCACTTTACGTGATTTACAGGTTTAGACTTGGTGATGACTCATATACATTACGATACAAACATCCCAAACACAATTCAATCAAACATTGAAAATTCTCAATTTAAATTCTTTATTTATTAGTGACAAACAACATTTATTAATTATTCTTTTACTACCTCGGTGTATAAACACCTTGAGTGCATAAGGCACCCCAAAACCTTAACCTCGTCTTACAAGACTTGAATTTCTCCTTTACTCATCCTGTTTGCATAATCATGAATGAGTAATAATTTAATCTTTACACCAATCACATACCTTTGCCTTTAAGCGCACCTTGCATAATTAGAGCACAAATAATAGTTGCATTATAAACTAGTGCACATCATTTGAAATTCACAATGTATAACCAAACAATTTAACTCAGTCAATCCTATACATGATACTAAGTTCTCGACCCGTCCTTAAACATGCACCTACAAGCAAGGTTTCGTAACTTGTACGTACCTTGTGTAAACAATCCGGTTGGCCACTTTAAAACTAGAAGTCGCCTTCTACAAAGTCCTCTCTTAAACCAAACAATTAGAAATAAATCAATACTAAAACAATTAAATTTACAGCAATACTAAACTACTTTAAAACCTCTTAAATCATCAAAATAAAGCCTTTAAATTGTCCCCAATAGTCAAAGTTAATAATATAACATCCCAACTTTAAGTTTATATGTTAGAATTATGAAAATATAGTGTTTTATATCAAATTACAGTAACTTTAAAGTAAGTAAATAAATCAGGAAATTAGTTTTAAGTATATAAAATAACCCCATAAGCATAATTACTTGATATAATCATTATATAGCAAGTTATTAGTGTGTTAAAAACCCAAGAATATATCAATTCAATGCAATTAGAGGCTTCAAAATAAAAAGTATGAAATCTGAAAATTATTTTTAAATTTAGAATTTAAAGTTCAAAGCTTTTTCAATCACAAAATACTCACAATAATTATTTTATAGGTTTAGAAGCATAAAAACATGAAACTAACATGACTTGTTCATAAAAATTGAAACTTTAATAATCTGAAAATATATATATGATCAAAATAATTATACTTTAACAAAATTTAAGCATAGTATAATTAGATAAATTGATTAGCACGTTTTCAAGCCCTAAAACATGAAAAAGTTAAGGTTTAAACCCTAAAATATACAAAATACGCAATCTGAAATTTTATTTAATAATTTAGACATACTAAACCCATAAATTTATAATCTTTTGTAATTTAAGCATACTATTAAACCCTAATAACAATAATTTTATAATTGAAATCAAACAAAAATTGAAGCTTTAATCAAAATAACAAAAATAAAGGAAGAGAAAACAAGAGGAAAGAGAAGAGAGGAGGGGCGAACTACTGGGCGGCTGGCTGTGCAGGGCGACGCGGCAGTCATGGGGGCGGTCAGGCGGTGGCGCGGCGGCAGGGGCGGCAGCAAGGGTTTGCAATTATTTTTTTATTTTTTTTCTCTTCTTGTGGTGTTGTACGTGAGAGAGGAGGAAGGAGTGAGGGAAATAAGGTTGGTATGATTAATAAGAATTGGGTTTGAGGGTATCCTAATCCAAATATAATTAGGATAATTTGTTTAGGCCCGAATATATCCCAAAGCTTAAAAAGAAAATATGTGGTGTAAGGTTGGGCTTTGAGGTAACTTGGACTAGGCTCTTAGTTTGTATAGGTAAAATGATTATTGTCAATAGTTAGTAATAGCTAAATAGCTTAAAACTAATTTATTATTTTCGAAAGATTTATAAAATCATAAAATTATCGTAAAATAATCATATAATTAATGATAAAATATAACTATTATAATTACAAAATCATGGGGGATTACACAGACTCTTGAACCATCTTTGAGGTACTCTCCCCACATACGGCGCCAAATGTTTTGGGTGTTTTTGTCTCTTGTGAGAGTTACGTCACAAAGCCTGGTCCACGCGTGAGCTGTACTTGCAAAACAACGGAGACCCCAGGTGGTTGGAGCTCCGCCTCCGACGATCAAGTTAGTAACTTGAATAGGAGTAAAAAGGTGCGGAAATTTGGCTGGGGATCTGCTCGGATTCCAAGCTCATGATGTCTCTATCAAAGAGTAAACTGTGTAATAAAAGGTAAAAACGTGCCTCCATAAGGAGGAAATCTCCCTATTTATAGGGCCCTCGGGAATTGTGCCCCTGACTAGGTCATCAAGCCCTAATCATTGGTGGATTGCGCCGCATTGCGGCTTTCTCGGAATTTGGGCCATGAAGGCCGCCTTTTTTCCCATTTGTTTGGGAGGACAAGTGTCAAGCAACGATTGGTCCTATTTGGATTAACCCTAAGATGACACGTGTTACACTCTGACTGGAACACGTGTCAGGGTAAAATTACCCCAAACAATCACCATAAAAAACTTACAGGGTCAACAGATGTCACACCATAGAGAACATGAAAAGGACATGTAGTTAATAATTTCATACTAACTAGTTTCTTGATTCTCAAGTAGATGTAGTATTAAAGATATGTTAAGCTCATTCAATATATGAATACGTTAAAATGAAAGAAAATATATTACTACTACTAATATAGTAGAGATTGCTTACGTGTAAGTAGCACATCGGAATGGACAGAAATCTATGACATTATTCTCTTCATTTGAAAACGAGTTGATTTATTCTAAATTGATTTAAGATATCGTCTAAAATACATGTTTTTATTTTTTTATTTATTTATTTATTTTTTTTTTTGAAGCAATCTAAAATACATGTTTTAATTATGTTTCATTTCAATCTTCGTATTTAAGAACACTCTGTTTCAGTCCTTTTTTTTTTTTTTTTTTTTTTTAAGTATGCTTTGTTCCAGTCTTCTTCAGCCTGATTTGAACCAAAATTTTCAACCTTGTTTAAATTTTTATTAACAAAAGTAAAATAACACATCAAGGCAGATCAAAGTAACTCTGATATGTCCATCTTTAATATACTTAATCTGGTTTGATTCGGTTTTAACAAAGAGAACTGTATATACTAAATCAAATACATGGATACAATGAACTCAATATCCATTTAAAATGTAATTCAAAGAATTAAATTGACCATTTTCAAATTATAATTAAGTGAAAATTTTTCATTAATAAATTTCCATCCTCACACCAAAAATGTTTTTGCTAGGCTATAAAAGAACCCCAAGGCCCAAGTCCTATTCACAACCAAGGATGAGAACATCACTTTCCTCCTCTCTTTCCTCCTTCCCCCAATAAAAAGCTCATAGCTCCTCCAAAATAAAAAGAGCTCTTCCTACAAGAGAAAAATCTTCTCTCCAATCAATCAATCAAGAAAAAAAGTGTTCTGAATCCAAGAAATTCCCTTATGACTTATAAGTGTAAGAAATTCACCCATTTTTATTTGCTCTGTTTTTTTTTTTTCCTAACCCCTCTGTTTTAATCCCCTGTTTATTTTTTTTGTTAGACTGATGGGTGAAAGCTCTCTGTAACTGTATTCACAGACTTTTCACATAACTGTCATCCTAGAAACTAGTTTTTTGGTTACAAATTTTCATTATTTTGATTTCTGACATTTTGTTTTTTTGTTTTAACAACCAGTACAAAAAGATTGAAAAAATAAATATTTTCGATGGAAGGTGGCAGAGTTCATGGTGGCTGTCATGATATGGTTTCATCGCTTGAGAATCCCAACAATTCTCTTTGGCGTTCTTCTTCTTCTGCTTATTACGGTATGCTCTCTCTCTCTATTTCCCTGTAATTTCATGATAATTTTATGAATTATGTATCAATTTATGATGATCTACATTTATATGTCAATCTATAAAAGTTAGCATGATTATTAATTTTTTTTATCTATTGATACTATGTAATTATTCATTTGTTCAATTCAATATTTGATTTGTGATTGAGTCATTGAGATATATAAATAAATTTAATAATTTTTGTAATCTGTATTTTGTGGCAGTGCTTTTTTGACTCCTTAAGTGAGTGAAATTTCATCATAAAAAAAACATAAAGATTAATTTTTTTTTTGCATGAACTTTTATGTTTAACAACCCACTTTATACAAAATCTTTTTATTACAAGGTCCCCCTCAAATGAAACATAATTGATATGATTGGATCTAAAAAGAGCATTTTTACTACATAAGGTTCGATGGAAATCTAATCTTTCTTGCATTTTTTAAGCGACTTTGCCCAATTATGTCTCTCTTACAGTCCTTTTCCATACAGTACCACTTACTAGATACTAAGTGGTCTCCTTGAGTCCTGCATTCGTATCGATGTCCGCTAATTTATTTGGTAAATTTTGTAAATGACATTAAATTTTATATCAATTTTGCTTTATATCCTAGGGTCGATGGTGAATTTTGATCAACAACCACAACCACCCCAACGGCTGCCGCCGCCGCCACCACCACCACTGCCGCCACTTCAACAAGGGCTTTTGGTGAACCCAAAAAGATACCGTGAAGAACTGTTCGCCGGAGCATTCAATGCAGATGACATCAGCGACGATGAATTGGATGCAAGCCTCTTCAACAACTCGGTGAAAAAAAGGAGGCTAACCCCGGAACAAGTTGAGTTCTTGGAGAAGAGTTTCAATGCGGATAACAGGTTGGAACCCGAAAGAAAAGCGCACCTAGCCAAAACAATTGGGTTGCAGCCTAAGCAAGTTTCGGTTTGGTTCCAAAACCGACGTGCTAGACATAAGACTAAGCTTGTTGAAAAAGAGTTTGGTTCATTGAAAGACAGCTATAATAGTCTCAAGGTTTATTATGACTCCCTCATCAAGGAAAACGAGAACTTGAAAAATGAGGTATAGTATATACTTTTATATTTATTCTATAGATTTTTTTAATCTGTGGTCTAATGTTATTTTCATATGCTTATTACTACCTCCGGTTCAAATTACTCGCAACTTTAAAATATTTTATATCTCACAAATAATATCCCAAAGTTGCGACTAATTTGAATCGGAGGTAGTATAATAGTAGGGGGGTGGACCAAATTTTTTTAACACCCAACAACCTAAATTTGATTTTTTTTTGTTGGCTTACTAATTGTTTTATACTCATAACTTGTACAAGAATATCGATTATTTTGGGCCTTTACTGTCTATTGTCTAGTTCAGGGAACACATTGTGATTTATTTGGCTGTAGAATTATCATAAAATTAAATCAATGTCAGATGATATTGTTTAAAGTAGTATTTCGACAGGTTTAATATTTTGTTGACTTGTTTGAGTACGTAAATCGTTATTTGTTTAAAAGTGGGTTATAATATTATTTATTAGTAAAAACACGCGCCAAGTTTTTTCGCGCCCTATTCTACATGTTTTTTTTTTTTTACAATCTAGTTAACCGACTCTCGCGCCCAATTCTATTTAGAGTATTGTATCTTGGGCTTTTTGAGGTATTGTCTAGTTGTTTGACTAGATCCCTATTTTTAAAATAAATGTTATATTACTTTATAGTGAGTAATTGATCTTGCGCTATGTGTTTGTGTCCAATCGTACTTTAGAATTGCTAATTCTTTTATTAAAATAAATAATATTAATATTACGGGGTTATATTTTATCAATATTTTTTTGAGGAGGGTCAAAATTATGTGACTTGGAAGCATACTAATAATATAGGTCAACTTAGTTGACCGTAATCTCTCCATTTTTGGTAAATATGTTAAGTTTTGATTTGCTTTTAAAAGGATATTAATGTACAATCTGTCATCTTATCCAGCTTGGTGGTCCATGTGAGTCGTGACAAAATTAATCTGATTTTCATTTTTCTCATGTTACAATGTAATAGGTCGAGATGTATAAGAACTTGCTGAAAATGGAAGGGAGAAGTATCAACTCGAGCCCAATTAGCACACCACCATTCGAGGATGAAGGGACAACGAAGATTGAACCTCGAAGAAAGGAGGAGATAGTTGGTTTAGAAGGAGTTGTGTTACAAGGCGCTAGGCTAAGTGAAGCCGCAAAGCTAAGTGAAGACGCGAATTCAGCCAAGAGTGACATCCTTGACTATGATAGCCCACCTTGCACCGTTGTGAACCAATCTGCTGCGATTGTTGAGGCACCTTCAACCCTCATTGTGCGAGATCCTGACCAGCAAACTGACTTTGCACAAGTGGAGAATATGATGATGCCTAAAAGCTTGTTGCTGCCACAATCACCACCAACATACAACAATTTTGTTAACGTACAAAATGTTAATGAGAATTATGACCCTAACAACGCCAATACTTGTAACTTTCCAATGGTTGATAATCAGCTTAACTGGTCTTGGCTTTACTAGCTTAGCTTTATATGTACTGGTGGATAGTCGTTACCAATCCATGTACGATCAATCATCGTTACATTTTGGTACGACCATAGCTAGTACTCCGTAGGAGTTAGTCATTATCAATCAATGTACGATCTTTGGATCGTTACATTTTTGGTATGACTAAATTAGGACTAGTTTGTCGTTCCCGGTCGATAATGTACGATTATCGTTACATTTTGGTACGACTAAAGGTTGTAGGAGGTAGTCGATTCCATTCAATGTACGATCATCGTTACATTAGAGTACGATCATAGCGTAGTCATCGTAGTCATCTACATTTACTTTTTTTTTTTAAAGAAAAAGTCAGCTACATTTACTTTAGGTATACATTTTGTTTCCTGTAATGTTCTCTTTAATTGATAGAAATTATTATAAAAAATTACCGCAACATTGAGCTTCATTGATGTTGCGTAGGTTTTTTTTTTTCAACCATGGCCACCAGTTTCATTAGTTTTAACACAATTTATATATTTTCCGATCAATTTCATTTACATAGGTTACATGGGTTTTCTTTACTTTACAAATTAAATTAATAAAAACTTTTTTATCAAAACAAATAATTGATTGTTTGTTGTTTATGAAGCGATTTGCAGAAAATCTATAGAGAAAAGCACAAAAAGAGAGAAATTTGGGAAATTATAGAGAATTTTTTTTTTTTTTTTTAAAAAAAGTTTGGTGATAAAAAACAATTTCGTGTTTTTTCTTGGTAAAAAAAGTATTTATTTTACAATCAACAAAAAATTGTTTTTCACCACCAGTCGTCAAAGGAGTCGTTAAATTTAGCGGTTATTAAAAAAAATTATTCCATATTCATGCCAAAAACATGTTCTTCAGAGGTTTCGGGGGTCATTTTGGTCCATTAAATCCGATTTGAAGTTAAAAATTGACTAAAAGTATCAAAAATGTCTCGTTTTGTGTGAGTCACGCAAATAAAGGTATTTTTTTATAAACAAAACGAGGTATTTACGTTAATTTTTATTCAATTCTAACCTCAAATTGAATCCAAAGGGTCAAATTGACCCCCAAAACATTAAAGAACATGTTTTTGACACGAAAATCGAATTTTATAAAATTCTGTTACATAGAATGATTATTTTGATAGCACGTAGTGAAAAACAATTTTTAGGTTTTTATTTTGTGGTAATTAAAATAAAATTTTTAAAAGTTTGGTGATAAAAACAATTTTGTGTTTTTTCTAAGTGGTTAAAGTAATAAAAAAAATAACAAAAAAAAACTAATTTCTAATTTTTGCTCATCGAGCTTCAACTGAAGCAATACAATAGTATATATAATGTTACAGGGAAGAAGAAAAATTAAAAAAAAATAAAAAAAAATATAATAAGCAATGACAATGTGTATAGATAGCTAAGTGAAACACCCCAATAATTCTCTCTTAGAACCTGTAAATACCCTGAACAAAATTCAAGAGAATTACTGGCGTGATATCGCCACGTGTTCAAACGCTAAGGCTATATCAAATATTAGCAGCGGAAAAACTAAATCAGTTATAAATAAGTTTCAAAACCAACAAATAAAATCAAATTAAGTGATACAAGCTGGAACCATTAAGGCCCTTATTCAAAACCCAACAAAAGTAGTAAATAAATAAAACCAGAGTTTAAATAAATTCAAACTTATGAAAAGAAATAAACTGCGAACAATAACAACCTCTCCACTCAAAATCCCAGCACCTCTATCCAAGTCCAGACTATGTAAACACCTGTGATGAGTCTGCTCCCCAATATTACAAGTGTAAAGATTGGATCATTACAGAGTCATTAAAAGGCGAAGGCCATGACCAAAGAAAGACACACAAAGCACGCAATCAGCAAAGCTGAGTACATACAAGCTGCGAAACATAATAAGAAATCCCTAGCATGCTACTAATAATCAATCATCACACATCATTAATTTGTATACTCAACACATGACTCAACTATCAATTTACTAAGACCTCCCTAGTTAAAAGTAATTAACTCATCATTTTTTATTCATTGGATTAAGCAATAGACAAGGTTGTCTCACCCATGCTCCATTTGGAACATCAATAAAAGAAAAACCCCATGCCTCCTTTAAGAAATATTAATAAAACATCCAACGACCACGGGCACGACTCCGTGACTGTAGCTAGTATGGGATCTCATCTAACTCCTAGTTTTGAAAAGTATTTGAAATAAGAGACTCGTAGATCAGACGGTCTCGAGAAAAGTGCACGGCTAATACACCGTGTACCCATTCCCTGATTGTCATTACTCCAGATGTGCACAAATCTAGAGTTTTATTGCTCATCCATCTTGCACTTTTAGTGATTTACAAGTTTAGAATTGGTGATGACTCATATTCAAAACAATATAATCAATCAAATATCACATCATTCCAAGAAATGAAGCAATCCAAAGTTCCAATTAAATTCTTGATTTATTAGTGGCAAACAATAATTAGTATTGAATCTTGTAACTACCTTGGTGTATAAACAACTTAAGTGTGCAGAGGGAACTTCAAATCCTGAACCTCGTCTTAAAAGACTTTAATGAACTTCCTCTACTCAAATCATAATTAATTCATGAAAGAGTATTAAAAATTAACCTCATGGAACCATTATCAAATTTAATTCCACTTATAGACAACCAAGAATCCATAACCTTCAATTAGTCATAACATATCCAATTGATAAGACAATCACTTATACATCATCCACAACCGTAGTCATATACTTATATCTCAAACATGCCTCATACACAATATACGGAAATCACAATGTATAACCAAACAATTTAGCCCAGTCTTCTCTATACATGATACTAAGTTCTCGATACGTCCCTAAACATGCATCTAATTGCAAGGTTTCGTAACTCGTACGTACCTTGAATAAACGAATTGGTATGCCAGTTTACTATCTAGAAATCACCTTCAATAAACTCCTCTCCTAAACCAAACAATTGCATCTCAATCAATACCCAATCAATCAAATTTACAGCAATACTAACTTACTTTAAAACCTTCAAAATCCAAATCAAACAACACTTTAAAACATTCCCTTTAGTTAAAATTAAAGGCTTATATATAGTTCTTTAAATTTTCGTCATAAAAACCTTAAAATACACTCTTATACATGAAATTACAACAAGTTTAAAGTTTAATAAAAATATTGAAATTATTTTAAAACCCCTAATAATCTCCCTTTTTAATGGGTGATTAAACCCTCTTTATAAAACATCAAAAGTAGTACTTAGAAACTATTTCCACCACTTTAGATTAATTAAAAACCCTTCTAAACTTTATCAATACATCACTTTAATACTCAATTAAAAGTCTCCTAGGAAATAATCACTTCCTAAAAAACAAACAACAATTAATATTACTAACCCGAGTAATTTCCAACAATATAATATGATGAAAAACTTCTTAAAACTCCAATAAAAACATATATTTATGCTTAATTAACTTAAAACATAATTAATTTTATTAATCAAACTCAAGGATAAAATTTTAAGCATAAAAAACTTCGTTAAAAATCAAAAACTGCCCAAAAATCATATCTAAAGGCTGAATTTGGCCACGAGGGGGTGGTGCTCACTAAAAAAGGTAGTGAGTCTTTCTTTAAACATTGTTTTCACATGGAAAACACAACTTTTTTTTATCAAACTCGGATGAGTTCAAAACCTGATCGGGATTAAAACGGGATTATTATTAACGAATGAAAATCTAAAAATTAAAACATGAATTTACGTGTTAAAAATAAACTGGAATTAAGTTAATCACATTAGGTCAAAGCAATCACAATGAGTCAAATAACACCAAGCCTTAGGTAGGTCAACCCTAAACATGAGCAAAGTCCTATAGTCTAAAATATATATGCAGGAACACTAAGTCCAAAGCTAAACGAGCAGAAAAACCTCTTACTAGGATTCAAGTGCATTGCAAAACAAACAACGCAACAAGATGCACCCCAACGCAACACGATGCACCTTGGTGCAGCGCGATGCACCCTGACAAAGTGCGACAGACCTGTCGCTGCACGATAGCTCTTCCGTTGCGCGGTATCTATGATTTGCCCAAGACAGCCTTCGGTGGTCTCACAACTTTGATTGGTTGGTCCGCGACTAATCCATTTGAGTTTCTTGATGAACATTCGATCCTTTGATCAATAGTCAACTTGATTACCACTTGATTGATGATCGGCCTGATGACGATAAAAAGAAGCATATTTGAAGATTGATTAAGTTAATTAAAGTAGTGATTGATTATAATCACAAAGAATTCCTAGGCTACAAAAATGGACTTGAAGATTGAAGAATCTTAAGATAAGGTTCTTCCCAAAGCTAGAAAGGTCAATTACTCCTAAGAGTAAGGATAAGAAGCTTTGAAGACTCAAGAAGAAGAAGCCTTCAACGCTAATGTCAGCGTCTGACGCTAACTTTGTTTTTTCGCGTCAGAACTCTTTTTGGCTGATTTTCTCTATAAATAGCCTCCTAAAAACTTCGTTTTCATTCTCATCTACAATCATCAATTCCTTAGTTCTCTAATTCTTTTCTCTCTCAAAGCTAGAAGCTTTCTTTCTTTCTCCTTTCTAAACCACCCTTCATACAAAATTCTGCATTCACAAGACCTAGATACACCTAGCATAGTTCGAAGTTGCCTTCGCCCTAGACGTGAAAGGTTTGATATTTCTGAGGGTTTGGTCCCAAATCTTTCTTTCGATTATTTAATTTAATTGTTTGTTTCATTATTTTCCTTGAAGTTACTAACGCGTGTATTTTGTTATTAGAAAGAGGTACGAGGCATCCAAGTAAGTGCTTGAATGGTTTTTATTTTTATTATGATATATAAATCATGTCTAGGTTGTTATTATGATTCCTAGTGTCATGTTAGGGTGTTTTGATCTTCCTAGTATCATGTTTAGGGTAACAACTATAATTTCTATTATCAAATATGACAATTGTGTTTCTTGTGATGCTTCATGTATTCTTTCCTAATAGCATGTTAGTATCATGTTAGGGTTAAAGCTTTGATTTTTATTGTTTAGTGACATGATAGGGTTTGTTATTAATTTTTTTAGTATCATGCCTAGGATCTTGCTATTATAATTATGCTTTAACATGAACATGATTACTTCTATGATTTATAATTATTCATATGATGATTATTTTATTATTAGTATTATTATTATTATTATTATTATTATTATTATTATTATTATTATTATTATTATTATTATTATTATTATTGTTATAATTATTATTATGTTGCTTAATATTTTATTGTTTTTGCTTGATCACACCTTTTATGCATGTTTAAAGGGAAT